CTGTCTGTACTGGCTATCTTGATTATCACTTCTAAAGTTTTTTTCTCTTACTTAATTGGCCTCTCAGAGTTGGTAAGACAACTCCCACCTGTTCATGCTCTCTGTATGTGTTTATATATATCTCCTCAATATATGCATTCTATATGCATCCTAAGAAGTGGGCTGTAGTCCTCGAAAGCTTATGCTCTAATAAATTTGTTAGTCTCTAAGGTGCCACAAGTACTCCTGTTCTTTTTACCTTCCAGAAAGGCATCCAGCAATATTCACGCAGCATCCATCACACCAATACTATTTTTGTCTGCATAACAGTGCTCAGTCCTGCAGCTTCTTGCACACACGAACATAGAATCATAGAATATCAGGATTGGAAGGGACCTCAGGAGGTCATCTAGTCCAAACCCCTGCTCAAAGCAGGACCAATCCCCAGACAGATTTTTACTCCAGTTCCCTAAATGGCCCCCTCAAGGATTGAACTCACAACCCTGGGTTTAGCAGGCCAATGCTCAAACCACTGAGCTATCCCTCCCCCCCCACTGAGTCCCACTGAAGTCAATGGGACTACTCATACAAGAAGAACTTCAGGATTAGGTCCCTAAATTGCACATTAACCAGACTGGTATTTATTTATCTACAAATATATTTTAAAAAACTAGAACTTTTAAGTGAAGACAGTTTCCATTTGTACTTACAGAAGCCGCACCTGGTGCCCCCTTCAAAGATGAATCCATTAGGGACCGCTCCATATCGGCGCAAATCCGAGAGCTTCCATTGCCCCATGACGGTGGGTGGAAGGTCTTTTACAAGGACTAGAATGTCATTGCAGAAGTGAAGAGTAGCCGGTCCACTCTCCAGCTTAGTGCCAGGTGCTACAGCAACATGAAACCTGTGAACTTAGGGGGCAAAAAAAAATACAAATAAACCAATTAATTATGGTAGCAAACAGAAAAAAAGGCAAGCATGTTTGTAACAGAAACCAGTTTATTTAATAGTACTGTGTAGACTGAGCCCTAGCTACTATGCCATTTGGATCTACCATTATCAGATAAGGAACTCAGAGCATTTTTCCCCCCTCTAATAGTTCTGGGTAGCACCCAGATAGCTTGGCAACGGCAGTAGGGTAGCCAGCCCTCCAGGATTGGCCTGGAGTCTCCAGGAATTAAAGATTAATCTTTAATTAAAGATTAATTAAAGATTATGCCATGTGATTAAATCTCCAGGAATAAGTCCAACCAAAACTGGCAACCGATCAGTTGCACAGGTATTAGGCCAATTTAGCTTTTGGAGTAATGCATTCAGGCCGTAAGCCATAGTTCAGCAACATGACCGACTAGAGACAGCTTTTCCCAAACATCCTTAAAGGGTGATACGTTCCTCAGTGGTTTTGTTTCCTACCCCTATTGCCTTGCCCGAATGATTCGCCTCATGTTTAACCATCAGGACCTGAGGACAAATATATTCATCCCCAGATAATTGAACTCCAATAGGGAGTAGAATCATCCAGAATCTTGGCCACACTCTACCTCAATTCCATTGATTGCTCAACTCTTGGCTGCATATCCCCTCACCTCCTTTACCCTCCTTCTTCAAAATGAACCCTCCTCCGCCATGTCAGGCCTCCATAGGCACTTGCGTGGCTGCTGAAATCTGAGGGTGTGAATGGAGGGTCTCACTTTGACACTTCCTGCTCTCACCCTCCGGCCTGCTCTTTAGAAAGGAGCCACTGAGCGTTGACCCCTCTCTGGCTGTTCTGAGTTGCTCTGATGTTTCCTAGGCTGAAGGCGGGACTAGGAGCTGACTGAGCAGGAGGATACCCCAAGAACTAAATAGGGGTTCACTTTATGCAGGGGCTCCTACCCATCCTATTCTCCCAACAGTCACAGACTCTCCTCCCCACACGTACTATCCATGTGGTTCAGTAGACAGGACAGCAGGCTAGGTTCTATTCCCAGCTATGCCACTGACTCACTGCCACCTTTGACAAGTCGTCCCCAATCTCAGTGCCTTGGTTTCCCTACCTGTAAAATGGGGATAATGACGCCTACCCATTTTTGTGAAGCACTTCGGGATCTATGGATGAAAGGCGCTGATTACTATTGTTATTGTTGTATCCCAGGAAGTTAGCTTATTCTCAAGTGACAGACACCTGGAAACTGACCAACTTCCTAAGGATTATCTTGATCTAAAGTATTACTACGTATTTAAAATGTATATTTATTTCCTCTGCATCACAGGCACACACTAAACCCAAAAGCTGCCTATTCATCATTAAAATCCACAGGAAAGCACTAAAGAACCAATTCTTAGAACTATTCTTCCCTTCCCCTTGACTAGATTTTCTCACCTTTAAAATGTCAGGAGATTTAACGGCATCTGATCTTTGCTTCTCATATAAGTATTCTGCTGTATTCTAGCTAAAAAGCAACAAAGAGTTCTGTGGCACCTTAAAGACTAACAGATGTATTGGACCATAAGCTTTTGTGGGTGAAGGCCCACTTCGTCAGACGCATGTAATGGAAATTTCCAGAGGCAAGTATAAATATGCTGACAAGAATCAGTCTGGAGATAACTAGGTTAGTTCAATCAGGGAGGGTGAGGCCCTCTTCTAGCAGTTGAGGTGTGAACACCAATGGAGGAGAAACTGCTTTTGTAGTTGGCTAGCCATTCACAGTCTTTGTTTAATCCTGATCTGATTGTGTCAAATTTGCAAATGAACTGAAGCTCAGCAGTTTCTCTTTGAAGTCTGGTCCTGAAGTTTTTTTTGCTGTAAGATGGCTACACAATAGCAGATGTAAAGGTAGCCATCTTCATTTGATAACTTCCCTAAGGTCTTAACAGAATTAGCCACACAGTAATTCAAGAGAAATGTAAAAGGAAGCCAGAGAGAGAACTCACCATACCGCTACTTATGGCCTGGCCCCGAAACACTGCTGGGGAACAAATCTACGTTCAGGTGATGCTGCTTGTCCGCTGTGTGATTATGTAACACCACTTATTTAGAAAAATCCAATACACTACCAAGTGAAACCAAATCATCACTGATTATAGAATGTTCCTTGTTCAGTCTTACATCAACTTAGACATCCCTTGGAGGTTACTTCTGTTTGTACAAGATGGAGCTTTGTAAGTAGCCCTAGGTTAGAGGCTACCAGACTGTGAGCTTAGTGGTTCTGTTCCACCGCATCTAAATGATGAACAGGGTAACAAATGGTTGCAAACTCCAATGCCTGCATAAATCAAAGATCTGCAGCTAGAGTTCCAGAATCACCCCTAAAATGTGCCAAGTCAACACCTAGATTTAAGCACCCCAAAATTTGAGGAAAGTTTAGATCTGGATAGAAACTTTGTGGTATAAGCCCAGCTCTGATGTAGCTGTAGAAAGCAGCAGTTTTTCCTACCTGAAATATAACCTTTTCAGTGTAGTCCCCAAATCTTCACTCCCACTCTACACAGAAATACAGAACCTGCTCAGTTATACTTAGGATCTTCTGTTGAGATGTGTCTGCATTCCTTATTTCCTTTAACATCACTATCCTTTCCCCTGCCCTTAGTCCTTCTGTGACCTCCTGTCCATCAACATCCCTGACATCTCTGCACCCGTAGGCTTACTCTCTCATTTTCCTCAGTTTTATAGTTGGCTCCCCTAATTCCACTGGATCCTCTAACCCTGACTCTCTTGCCTCTTTCTCCCACCATCCATCTCACTAACCCTCTCTGTATCTATTCACTCTGCAAAACACTTCTGGAAGAAACCCTCTACTCCAAGTTTACCCACTCCTCCTTCTGTTCTGCCATCTTCCTTGAAAAATAGCTCCACTTCTCCTCCCTAATGGCATTCCATACCTATAACCCCCAATGCTCATTTGCCACCTTTTACTGCCCCCTCAAGTCCTTAACCACCATCCTTAAATTCATAGATTCAAAGGCCAGAAGGGACCCCTCTGACCATGTAGTCTGACCTCCTGCATAACACAGGCCATATTACCTCTCCCTCAGCCCAGGAGCTTGTTGACTTCAAGGAGAAAATTGTCAGGTTCTCATGTGAGTTTCCTCCATCCCTTCCTAATATCTTTTCCTCCTTTACCGCAGTCAGACTCTGAGGTCTCTTGCTCACTGTCTGTTTCCAACTCCTCCACCCCCCTCCTAGTTTTGTCCCATTGCATACAAGCACATTTTTTTATCCCCATCTTCAAAGAACCAAACCCCAAACAACTACTGTCCCATTTCCCTGGTTTCCTTCACATCTAAACCGAATGGACAGTGTACATCCACTGCCTTAACTCACTCTCCTCTAAATCCCTCCTGAATTGCCTCCTGTCTTGCTTCTACTCCATTGAAACTGTTCTCCCCAAGATCTCCAAAGAGCTTTTCCTGATCAAGTTTTACATATCCATTCGGTCTTTTCAATAAGCCCCGTCCTTCACGCTGCCAACTGTGCCAACCTTCACGCCTCTCCAGTTCTTTCCGCCACTCCCATCTCCATGCCTTCCACACTGCCCCCTATGCCTGAAACAACTTCTCTATCCTGATATAGTTGGTTCCCCCTACACCTCATTCAAGTCCTTCTTAAAGGCTCACTTATACCACACACACACATCCAGGCACACAAACTTATATCACATGTTTTCCCCACCCCAACACTGCATTAGAGTGAGATCAGACAAACCAAACAAACCCTGCCAAGCTTGCACCCTCCTCCACCTTTCTCAGTGCATCTATTCTTATCTGCATTTGTCTTTTAGACCAGTGCTTCTCAAAGCCGGTCCGCCGCTTGTGCAGGGAAAGCCCCTGGCGGTCCAGACCAGTTTGTTTACCTGCCACGTCTGCAGGTTCGGCCGATCACAGCTCCCATTGGCCGTGGTTCGCTGCTCCAGGCCAATGGGGGCTGCGGGAAGGGTGCCCAGCACATCCTTCGGCCCGCGCCGCTTCCCACAGCCCCCATTGGCCTGGAGCTGTGAACCGCAGCTAGTGGGAGCCACGATCAGCCGAACCTGTGGACGTGGCAGGTAAACAAACCGGCCTGGACCGCCAGGGGCTTTCCCTGCACAAGCGGCGGACCGGCTTTGAGAAGCACTGTTTTAGACCATAAGCTTCTCAGGGCAAGGGCTATCTTTGTATAGTGACAAGCCCGTTGCCAACACTTAACAGGTGATAAACTATACATAAATAATAACGATGGTCAGTAATGCTAAATATATGTCCTCATGCTTTACCAAACACTAAAAGCCAATTACCCTGGATTATCCCCATATAATAAATTCTCAGCCACTACAATGCATTTCAGAGCTACAGAACTGAAAATGAAGGACATACTAGAATAAAGCTAAACATACAGGTGAGAATGGCATCTTTACTGTGAGATTCTCTCATTACATGTACTTGAGAGGGGGTGTTCAGCAGCACTGCACATTATCTGGTCTTTTGGACAGAACTGGGGAGTGGGAGTCAGTCATTCCTGGGTTCTAATCATGGCTCTGCCACTCATAGTTTTTGTCCTCCCTGAGCACAAGGATTTGTCATGAATCCATGTGCTATAGACACAATTAAAAGCTAAAGCTGACAAACCCCTGACCTGAAGAGATAGGACTAGAGCCCTGGCCTCTCAGCTCCAAAAACCACAAGCCTTTAATATCTGAGCCAAAGAAGATAGTAGAAGCACGTTGACAGTTATTACCTTACTCTCTCTGTGGCACACCTCTAGTGGGCAGTACACACACGTTACACTGCACGTGACAGCTGATCTGGAGCTCACAAGGAATGAGGCTCTTTGCTCCAAGGCCAGCGACAATCTCGGCCCTTTCAACTAAGGCTTTGTTTGCGTTCTTTCCAAAATAGAAGAATGTGACAAGACAAAGGTTACCTTCCCCCAAACTGTACCGAATCCGTACATCCCATGCATACATAGTTTCCTTGTTGTCAAATCCCAGCATCACGACTTGAGATAGACAGATGATAGCAAGTGTGTGATTTAAGCCCTCATAGGAGAGCCCAGGATCCAGGCCACAGATGTCTTCTAAGGTCACGCTGCTCCTCTCCTTATGTCCTTTGGCTCGCTCA